GGAAACTTAAGATATTTGACCAGGAACATCTATAAATTTCGAACATTACAAACCATTTAACTTTAGTGGATTCACATCGGACATTAGTACTTTTACGAAAATATTACCTAATGTCATTGGTGGAAACTCGACCTGTAATCGGTGTGTGATCAGCGAGAATTACAGGACTAGCTAGTTCCCTGTTAAGGGAATTATACCTACGTCAACTCGAAATTAATTTGCTCATCGTCAACCCTCGATAAGATATCAAGGAAGTTCCCGATTAGAAAGAAGACTTTATATTGTTTGTAAGTTTGTGAAACTTTTGTGTATAAGTCATTGTTTGTAATAACTGTTATTGTAAGTTGTATTATTGTTTGTGTATTAAAATATATTTGTATTAAAAGAAAGGAAAACTATATGTATCAATCTTGTTGGCAAATATCATAAATTAGAGATATATCGGCATCGATTTAACTACTAAATCTAAATTGCAATTTAACTCAGTTTTAGGCTATTTGAAATTGTAATACGTAACACTCTCAAGTGGCTTTTCGTAAAATTCAACAAACAGACAAACAAGTTATTAAACGGTAACCTCGTACAATTAACGTATCTCTTTTATTAATGAAACAATACACTAGCTAATGCTTCACTTTTCAATTATCCTTTTCTTTTTAATAACCGAGAATTTTTTACGTTAGTTTTCTAACTGTAGCAACACAGTAAGTTTCATTATCGATCCTAAAACCCAATTAGAACTGTAGCAACTGTAGTAAAATTTTATTTTTGATTATTTGAATACTTTTTGTTATTTTTGCTCTTTTGCAATCTATAGAAAATCCAACTTTTCCTCTTTACCTGTGGCTCAGCGATGGGTCTGATGGCTTACAACGCTAAGAATTTGGTTTCGATAACCACAGTAGACAAAATACACGGATCCAATCTTAAGTGCTGCTGGAGGAATGGTGCTGCCATCTGTCATTTGATGAGAAGTAAATTATAATTGTACTCACGAACTAGTATAACAAAAACGACTCCTTACTTTTGGAACACCTACTTTATTTGAGGTTATGACTTTCCTTTACTTTATATTATCTAATTACCATTTGAGTTATTGTTTACTCAAAATCTTGAGTGAAAGTTGCAGGTAAAGTATTTTTATTGATCCTTTATTTCTACTTATACGTGACATTCATTGTTTCATTATCAGCTTTTACAGCCTTAGTATTGGTAGTACTAAAGAAGAAGCCAGCGCTTCTAACGTAATAAAATTTTATTAAGGGGTATAAGTTGGCTGTCTTTGTAACCGGTAGCCATTATACATTGTTCCGTGCTTTATATGTTGTTGATTAGAATAATTAGAATGTATTTTTTTTATTGTCATTGAACAACTTTCTTGTTATTTAGTTCGGGACAACTGTGTACAGGCATACATAAGTGTTATGCATGTTCGAGATTCGAAAAGCAAGTACTCTAATGACGATACAAGAGTTGATTGCTATGATAAATTAAACGTTGAATACAGCGACGCTAGTGAATTTCGCGCCAACATTATCATCTAATCGATAGCGCTTTATGGATTTAGGATATTTTTTCGTCGTCTCTTGCGCGCAAGGAATCATGGGTAAGGTAACGAAAGAAATTCCACCAAGTATCCAGTAACAGGCAGAAGACAGTCAAACTGTGACATTCGTTTGTTGAGCTCGGTACTTCACACAAGCTGTGGCGTATGGAACACTCCATCCGTGCAACTCACGTTCAGTTGTCCGTTGCATTTAATACATGCTGACAAACCTGTAGTCGTATTTCTATGTTACACTAGCAGTTGCATCTAAAACTGTTCGCAATTTTGAAAGCCGTATACGAATTGCGGAAACAGGACGTTCTTGTATCAAAGGTAAAACCGCAATTATTTTAGTTTATCGAAAATGGGCACGTATTTCCCTGTGGTATAATTGGACTTAGCTCTTAACAAAACATTTTTATGACAGTGAATTTTTGATCGTAAAAAAAAGGAAAGAAAGAATTTTTCATTCATACTTCAGTGACATTACCAGTCAAATTTGAAGTAATATTTATCCTTCAGACTTTTGTATATATAGTTTATCTCTTATGGCATAATATATATACATGTAATATTTCACTGTAACCAAGCTTTTATTTTCAAATTAAGTTTAGTATTTCCGTTTAAGCTGGAATTTGTAAAATGTTTAAATAATTACATACGTAAATTAGTTTTTAGATTACTCATCTATTAACAAGTATACATTATTATTTTTCAGCTCTTAGTTATTTGAAAATGAACATAGAAAATGTGAGTTTCTTCATTTTGATACTTAACTAAATATATAACCAGCAAACTAGAGCTTTCGAATCACTACATGTTAAGTTTTTGTATTTTCTATTATTGCTTATTAACATAATATTATAAGTTCCTTTTTCAGTTATTCTGAGCTTTTCGGATATATAACCGATATTGAAAAATATTGTACATCTCCTGAACCAGTAGTTTTTTTTTACAGATCTACGATTTGTAGTTTCATCTTCTCTTCTTACCGCAACAACCTTGAACTTGTACTCTTTCCTTTTAACCCGTTTCCCAGTGGCATAGCCGTATATCTGCGGACTTACAACATTAGAAACAGGGTTTCAATACCCGTGGTAGACAGAGCACAGATTGTCCATTGTGTAGCGTTGTGCTTAATTACAAACAATTTCTTTTTACCGCTTAGTTTCCTGTGTAGATGCTAAAAAACTGAAACGGTACTTTTCTTCCGGTTTGAGCTTCTTGCCTTTGCATATTTTACCTTTCTAGTGTAGTCTTCTTCTTACTATTGAAGAGGTAGTTTTGTAAGTTAGTTTTTGGTTTAAGTATTTTATAGCTCTTAAAGCTTTAACCAGCATTTTTGGGCAACTTTGCTTTATGATTTTAGCATTTCTTTGCTGTTCAAAGTTATACAGGTACACTTCCTAAGTTTGATTTCTACTTACAGTTACAGCCCCGAAAGGGTCTGAAGGCCGTCTGGTGGGCTCACCTGTTTTAACCACTCTTACCACTATACAGTAATGTCAGTCAGTCAGTAGACACTAAAATGACATCATCTAAGGGACACTTAACGTTGCAATTTGTACTGTCGAGAAGAATTATTCACTCTGTAAACCAGAACACAGCATAGCATATGAACTGCAAAAGTAAGGAATAAAAAATATTTGTTACTCTTAATTTTGGTTTTATTTACCCTTGAAACAGAACACTTTCGGAGATTCTGCGGAAATAAATCTAGTATATCTTTCTGGTTTTAATTTATTTTCATCGTTAAAACTAGTCTGATACTCCCCTTCACAAGTAATACCCTCTTGGCTTTATCTTCTTGTCATTATATAGCTAGCTTACCTGATACTTCCTCTACAGGCTTAAATTTCTGATTTTGAATTTTTCTTGCTGCTATAACTGATACGGCACGACTTTTACAGATCATATTTTTCTGGTTTTAGCTTCTTGACGCTACAGCTGATACGATACGACATTTACAGTGAGCCTGGAATGACCTGGTGGTTAGGGCGCTCCATTCGCAATATGCACTCGCGGGTTCGAGTACCTGTCGGCGAACATGCTCGCCCTTTCATCCATGTTATGGTTAATCCTACTATTCGCTGGTAAAAGAGTAGCCTAAGAGTTGGCGGTGAGTGATGTTGACTAGCTGCCTTCCTTCTAGTCTATCACTGCTACAGTAGAGACGGCTGGCGCAGATAGCCCTCGTCTAGTTTTGCGCGAAATTCAAAACAAACCAAACAGGTTATATCTTTTCGGTTTTAGCTTCTTCTTGCCGCTATAGCTGATACGGCATGACTTTTACAGGTTATATCTTCCTGATTTTAGTTTATTTCTGGGTTAAAAGTAATTTTATACTCCCTTTATACTAACTTTAGCTTCTACTTGCCTGTTCAACTGATCTGATGTTCCCTTCATGTGTCATACTGATCTTTCTTGTCGTTACGTCAGTTACAGGTTACACCTTTCTGTTTCAATACCTGTAGTGGACACAGCACAGATAGCTCATTGTGTAGCTTTGCGCTTAACTACAAACAAACCAACAATACACTTTTCTGATATTATCGTTTTCTTGCCATTACAGTTTTACTGGTAGTTTTTATAGATTATATTTCTGGTTTTAGCTTACTTTACTGTTACAAAATGGGCCAAAACATTTTTTACATCTTAATATTTAGTTTTATTTTATTCTTGCTGTTACACGCTGAACTGTTTCTTATTACTGCGATTATATTCATAAATTTTCCATAGCTTAGCTTTCTAGTTTTGTTTTTGCCATTACAGCTAAACCAGTACGTTTTTTTTTGTTGTTGTTGTTTTTCTTATGTTTTAGTTATTGGGTACTACAGATGATGAGTACATTATATTAAAATGATTTTAGAGCCTCACCAGGTCGTTACAGTCTATATCGCCACGTCCGGTCATCTTGACAGCGTAATTTCCATTGCAAAAGGCTTCGTCGTAAGGCTGAAATATTCAAGATACACACCTCCTTCCAGCATGCTTTTCATAATTCATCTAGTTTACGTGGACGAAGGTTTCTCATGGTCCGTTTCAACAATCCAATCGCATAGAAATCCATAGGCGCAGCGTCCAGCGACTTCACTGACATGTATTTTCTTAATTATCCAACTGCTTGAGGTATGCGACGGTTGAACAGATATGTCATAGAAGCAACTTGTGTACGCGTAACTTGGGTCGCTTTTACAGACGTAGGTCCCGTCCCCCGGTGAGACGGCGATAAGTCTAAGGAATTACAACGCTAAAATCTGGGGTTCGATTCCCCACGGTGGACACAACAGATAGCTTGATGATCTGAGTACGGAAATATTTTGCGTCAGAAAGGGTTGTTACATATACTTCCCAAAAGCGATCATTTTTTTTTGGTGCTATCACACCACCTACGAACGTCAAACAATTTCAAAATGTAGTTCTGATACATCCGTGACTTTCTGATTTGTATGTTTCAAATCGCGTAGTTTCATTTTGCCGCTGCAAGTCGAACCAGTACATTTTTTAATAGTTTTGCTTTGTAGCTTTACCGTCTTCTTATCCTTAAAGGAAGGATTCGCGTTTCCTCACTGCAAAAAAAAAAAATACAAAATCTCGCTTCGAGGCTATGCATGGGTGTGTTATAAGAGTGACGACCAAATCCCACTATTCGATTGGAGTAATCCAAGAGTTGGTGGTGGGTAATGCTGACTAGGTGTTTTTCCTTTATAGTATATAAGTTCAAAATTAGAGACGGTTATACGCAGATAGCCCTTGTTTAACTTTGCGCGAATATCCAAGACAAACAAAACTTGCCGTTAAAAGTAAATTGACATTTTTTTCCGAGTTAATTGGCTTTACAAGCTAAACTGGAATGTTTTTACGTATGCCAGGTTTTGGGTTTCAGCTTGTTCTTCCCACTATTTTATTTTCGATATATATTATATAAATTAAATTGGTTAGCTTTCTAGTTTTATATTCTCCTTACTGGTATGCTTTTTTTATGCGTATTATTATATTATGGTTTAAATTTAATTAGTAGTTTTGCTTTCTTGTTTTTTTATTTCTAGAGATACACTTTATGGTTGTAGCTGTTATATTTTTTCAGTTTTGTCACCCAAGTAGTATTTGCCTTTGAAGTATGATGGTGGTGATGTTTTCTAACATATTTTTTTATATTTTGTTTTTCAGAGGAGTAATGTTTTAGAATTTGTTTTAGGATAACATATTTTATGAAGATATGTATGCCTATACGCTGGGAAACATTTATTTTTAGTCTTCTGATGAAATGATAAACATAAAGTTTGATAATTTTATAGGTATATTACCTTCATCGTGCCTTTCAGTGGAACAGCAGTATGTCCGCGGACTTACAACGCTAGAAACCGGGTTTCGATACCCACGATGGGCTTTGTGCTTAACTACAAACAAGCAAACACACCTTCATCGTAAAAACTGGAAAACAATTTATTTTTCTGGAAAAGGTTAACGGTTAAATATATTTAAAAAGCATTAGGCCAGTAAAACGATACAAAGTGTTTTTGTCACCCTCTCCTATTCTTTTGGGTTTGGCGTGGATTAATGGCTAACGTTTCCTAACTGTAAACTCAAGAGTTCGCGGTTCGTGTACCTTTGCTGCAGAAACGCTTGTGGCCTTGAGTACCTGTAAGAGTAATCATCAAATTCCACTTTTTGACCAGACAACAGTACCCCAAAAGTTATCAGTAGGTGTTGTTGACTAGCCTTCTTTCCTCTAGTCTATCAGTCCAAAATTAGGGATGGGTCTGCGTCATAATTAGCCCTTCGTGTGACTTGTACGAAAATATCTAATCAAAGAAACAAGTCAAAACATCTATAAAATGTCGGGATTTTTTTCATTCTTGATTTCAATTTCTACTTTGATTTTCTTCTCTAGTATTTAACATAATCAATAATATCGACAGTGCTTTGTTTACTAATGTTCGTAACAGTATAATAAATACTTGCTATATCAACTGTTAGTGCATTATTAAGTATTAATTAACTTATCTAATAAAGAGAGATATTCACTGAATAATATGTTTAAGACAGGATAATACAGAAAAAGAATTAAACTAAACTCAAATAGGACACAACTCAGATTTATCTAATTCAGGAGAAACTAGGATAAGCTGGATAACATTGCAGACTTATGAAAATGGAGAAAGTTAAGAATATTTTCTATTTATGATCAAGCTACTAAAACTATCTGCCCTTGACCCTAATTTTGGACTACTGACCAATCAGAAGCACCCTACTACTCACCATCCACACTAATAAACTGATTGTTATTCTTATAACGTACCCACAGCACAAAATGCGGGAAGTAGTTTATA